TTTTTTCCCTGTCTCCAATATCTGACAGAGGGTAAAGGACAGCTAATTTAATTCTCATTTTATTTTTTCCAAAGGTAGCTGTTTTCAAAATTTCTAATAGGCCAAAACGCTTCTTTCCAATTCATCCTGTATGAAATGCAAGGCCCACTTGATTGCCTCTCAACACTGTCATACATATTCGACAGTACTGAAGTCACACTACGTACTCCAAAATTATACATTAAGATCCAGTGTAGTTAACAACCAGAAATGCGGAGAAAACCTAACTGTGCTATGACTTACAACGAAAAAAAGGAGAAAGAGTTTTTCCTGTAGAACTTCTAATGATTCTCTAATCTCCCAAGAAAACAGCATAACTATGCATACCGCAGGATTTCTATAAGTATTCAGTATTCTATTTCTAATACTGAAAAATAATTGCAGACTAGTTAGCATTACTATTTAAAAAAGAAGAGGCAAACTTGGAATGTCTAGGTTAGCCTCAGTCCTAAACTTCACTTTTGTTTAAAATGTCATCTTTAGGCATGACAGTTGCAAAATCTTTTCCAAAAGCAACAACAGTGGAAAGCAGGGTAGTAAAACTCGCTTCCACAAGCGGAGGGTACAATAACATACCGGTATAATGCCCTACTTTATATGTTTCCTGGTTGACCCAAGAATGACAAACTTCTTGTCCCGACTTCCCATCTGTTAAAGGGGAAGGCTAACACTTTAAGGAATAAGCGTTTTTACAGCTGACAGGAGGACAAGTGTTACAATACTGCAAACAACATGACTCCCTTGATCCACAGAAGTAAATCCACACAATCCCAACTCATCTCCAACAAATTTCTGGGTGCAAAAAACCCCCATTCTCTGCTATGCAGTTGCAAAACCCCAGTGCAACATCCACGGCAACTTCCACAATGCATTAGTATTTTCCAATCAAAAGCCTGTGGCACGTTCAAAACCTAAGACAGTATATGATCAGATGGACAACTACAGAATTTTAATAGACAGCATTTATTCCCAGTTAAAGTACTTCAATTTTTTAAAGTCTGTATCTCAACAATGCAGAGTTACAGGTCAGTAATTTAGACATGTCACAGAACTAGGATTCCTACAGAAGAGTAAGGGTCCAGGTTGCCACAGGATATACCGATTTATCAGGAAAAGACAGAGTAGAGTACTGCACAACTAAGGTTCTTGACAAAAATATGTTAGACTGCAGGACTGTTTACCTCTAGTGCCCTAGTGCATTGACCAGTCTTGAAAATAACAAAGAGTTTACTGTTTCTTGTAGGACAATTATTTCCACAATGATAGGAAAACAAGTTTTTCTACTTCACTGTTTTATGTGATCTAAATGAGCCATTTAATCCTAAAAAGCCAACTTTGATCCTGAGGAAGAACTTCTTTATTAAGGTGTGTAGGGACACGACTGAAAAGCATGAGCAAAGAAGAACATAAAAATTAACAGTGCTGCAAAATAAGGATAATCTTGAGAATAGGCATAGTCTAATAGTTAAAGAATAACAACTAGAACCACACAGCAGTTATCACATGGATAATAAGGAACAGCCCGGCACTGGCAAGAACGCTCTACTTTTGGAGATTGTGGATTTTAACATCACCTCTAGGAAACAAGGCCATAAAACTCTTGCTGGAGATGAAAGGAAAGAGTTAAAACTGCATTAGATGCGATTTTAAGACAGGAAGAGTTGGAAATAAAACTGACTACCTAAACAGCCTACCCACACATTTCTCAAACGTTCAGACAGTAAGAGCCACAATTTACGAGTTTAAATAACTAACCTCAGGCTCAGCTCAGAATACCTATCTCAGGAGATAAAAGTCAGAGTTCAAACAACACACAGTCTACCCAAGTATCACCGAGTTCTTATCACCTTTTATTGCTTTGTGCCTGACCTAGTATTTATTTTCCTCAAGAACCTGGTAGCGATTACTCGTGCTAGCTGAAGAACAAAATCTAAAAATATACTGTTATTTTATTTGATGTGTGTTTTTTCCGGATCATTTAGCAAGACAAAAAATGTGCCTGTTAACAGCTGTGTGGTCAGAGACCTGAAACTCAGGTTTGTGCAGAATTATTACTGAGGTGCATGAACAGAAAATAAAACCTTGAGAAGAATTATAGTCAAGTAGCAGTTAACATGCAGAGTCTCCTTGCCCTTGCTGTTCATCCTCTTGCAGAAAATCAATGTATATCGTTAAAACAACTATGCTGTTAACGGCTATCGGTTAAGAAATAGTCTATCGTGCCATGAGCTAACTTTACGTTCTTGTCTGAAACGGGTAATACTAATCTTAAAAAAATCATTTTTCTAACATCGTCTGCTCTATGCTATTGTAAGCTTTGCCAAACCATTAAGATAGAATCATAGCTAATAAGGAAAATGGGATGGAGAATAACGGGAGAGTACTTTGACCTGTTCAGTCCACGGAAAAGCTGGCAACACGCTTTTCTCCAAGAAGCGGTAAGCACTACCGGCAGGACAGTAAGCAATACAACACAATGAATGAAGTTTCTTCCCATGATACTTTTATCCATAAACCCACAGGAAACAGTTCAGTGAAATTCATCTAGCTCAACGTATTAAAAATGTGCCACTAACTGATCATCAAAAAGTTTTCAAATATATAATACAGTAAAAATACAAGTGAAATTAATATTTACAATGGTGAGCAATGGATGACTGTCTTCCTACATCTGGTATTCACAGGTGTCCTACAGGGTTCCCTTCATAGTTTTGCAGCTACCCTGTGCAAAATGGTAGTTAGTAGAAATTAAAACTAACATCCTGCTTCTTCCAATTCAGTCTTTCTTTGGACTGGACTACAGACAACAGGTGTTCATTTTTTATATGTATGTAATGTTAGCTTCAATTATCTGTTCAGTGCTCAGGCAGAAAAAGAAAAAAAGAACAAAGTGGGAGGCACGTTCCCCTAAGCAGAGAAAACTGAGCAGAAAAATATCAAAAGCGCTTGTAAAAAAAAAACCACATTCTTGCACCAGTGAGTGCTATTAGGAAGTCAGCAGCAAGGGAAAGTTGCTGGAGAAGAAATACAGAAGACAGCTTCAAAAGAAGATCACTATAACGACTCCTTACCTATGACGACATGACCTTACTCTGCATCTGCCAAAACTACATACTTCCCCCTCTGCAAAACCTATTACACGTGTCTGCATCACATTAAAAAAAAACAAAACAAAACATAGTTTGTCTCCCAACAAAGAGCTAACTAATTTCTTTGCATGGAACAAACTAGGTGACAGGACAAAGGCGAACACTCTTGCTATAGCTGGGTTCAGATATGACAGCAAGACCAGGGGAATATCACATGGAGAGCTGCACTACTCCAAGCCTGGAGGGCTGCCTTCAGAAAAATTGAAAATAGAGTAATGCCCCAGGAGTAGTATTTTCTACTAGAAGAACACCCAGGCACAAATCTGATCCTGCATTTGTAATCCACGTGGTCAGTCTGTCAATATTTTACAGATCACTGGCATTTAAGTCTGAAGCGGGACGAGCACTGGCCCCTCCTGAAATCAATGAACGCGTGCCAGACTGCCCTACCACCAAAAGGAGACCAAAAGTCTTCAGCTAAGCCACCTGCAAGGGACATTCGTGTGCACACAGGTAGATGAAGCCCAGACACGAACGTGCTACATTTGCGGGAAGTGTCAAGTTCCGACAATGAGAAATCATAAAGTTCTATGGATAGTGCCATAACAAGTTGCATCAACTCTGCTACTTTACTCAGCAATCCTCACAGTAATCAAGATTTGAATCTTATAAAAATATTTTTTTAGACTAATTTCAGGACTGAAACAGTTTTAAACAGGCATTTTGTACTGCAAATATACTTGTGTTACAAAACTCACCCATTAGCTTCCACCCCTGGAAAGGATTTGACAGTTAAACTAAAATTACACTAAAGGTTGCAGATCTCAATGCATTTCTAAATTGTATTAAGTAGTAATGGGCCAACAGAAGCCTTACCTTAGGTGTTCTGTAGTACGTTAAATGTTATATGGTCGAACCTTCTGAGTATTACATACGCACACGTGACCAAGTTATAAAAATCTATAAAATGATCAAATTTTAAGCTTCTACATTTCCTTTGTCAGATTAATCTATCGTATTAAAAGAGAATTAGTGTATTTAAATGCTGCATTCAGGGAAGAAAACAATGCTATGAAGTATATATATTCAAAACTAATTTCTATGACCTCATCAAGTTGTAAGCTGTAGCAATTAATATATAGAATGCAATTACTCGTACACAAGTAAGAAATGAAATTAGCCTTTTCACTCCAGTTTTCCCTAGCCCACATCATTTAAATCCAACTACTCCTTACAGGTGTGTACATGTGCAACTTTTTACAATTCAGTTGCATAAATAATATCTCAGATCTACACTGTTCCCTTAGCTTTTGATGGAGGATGAAATAAACCAAAGATGTAGGAGGTCATAGTACTGGGTCCAAAGCATAACCTACACATCTCGTGATCCATCTATCCATCACTGAGCCAGTGACTGTTTCAACAGTGATTTCTGAATACTGAACATACTCCTTCCCAGATGGCCCTCAGGAATTGGGCCTTAATGTGATAACGATGCATGGATAGGCATCCCGTACTTGTGCAGAGCCCTTTTGGACACACTGGTCTGCCAGCAGGATTGAAGGTTTTATGCCAGTTTTCTGCTAATACCCATTAATCATTGCATGGTTTAATCAAAGAGAACTTTATCTCTAGAAACATTCTCTGGAATGGTACTCTCCTTTCACAAACTGAAACAAACATCCAAAAAACCTTTGTAAAGCGAAACGAAAGTAACTAGTCTGAAATCTTCTTGTCATACATATGACAGCTACATCCAAGAAACTCTTATTACCATAAAATCATATTTTTAGCATCTGCTCTGTAACAGAGAAAACATACAGACAGTAACACAATTAGTAACAGTCCATGTTTTTAAGTTAAATAACTTACCATTCAGGGGGCACCATACTTCCATCAACTTCCCAAAATGTATTTTTGCCATTCATTTCATTAGTATATATGACCCATCGGTGTCGACCTTAATTAGATAAGCAGAAATATTGTATTAGCTTAAGAAAATAAAGAATATTCATATGAAGGAGACTATTCATGAAAGCACGAGGAAAACTATTTTGACTAAAAAGATCTGTCATTATGGCCACACATTTCAAGGTCAGTACAGTCATTACTGTTAAGCAGATCAAGTTTTTCTGATTTTCAACTTTTAGGCTGCTACTGTATTTTTATAGTGCTGAATCTATAAAGCTCCCATAAAGAAGCAAATAGTAGCTATTGCATGAGTAACTGCAAATAGGAATTCATGAAACTTTATTTTTCATTAGGAGATGCCTTTATTTCACTTACAGCTTCCTTTCTCAAAAGGGACACTGGCATTAGTAACTCAAGATTAAACTGAATTTCTCCTATTAGCAGTATCATATATAAAACTATGAAGTAATGTTTACCAACAATCCTGTTTTCTCCAGTTATCCTGCAAGTTCACCTACACTAGGCAGAACTTGAGCTAACCAGTCTGTCAGTTGCTTATGTCATCCTTTGTTTTAGGTGCTGCCTTTCGGAGCACTCTGCAAAGAGTATTTGCAAACCCTTTACTTAAGCCGAGGTAATAAGTTTAAACTAACTCGTGCTTCTTTGCTCTGAAGCGATCATATGAAGTCCAGCTGTGAGGCAGTTCTAAAGGCAATTCCCCTCCTTCCCTCCTCTGTTAGGCTACCAGCTTTTGGGTCAAAGACTAAATTCAGCTCTCAGTCACATTATCCTATAGACATACCTACGTGGAAGGCACCTGACTGGTTTAGATTTACCCCATATTTATTATGCCAGATTGAATCTGTTTGCAAATAAATTGAGGGAAGCAGTGGAGAGACAGGGCATGTTGAAGCATTTCTTTCAGCCCCCTAACACTCGCACAAGTCAAGTGAAAGGAAGCTGGGCAGGCAATAAATTCCATTTCACTAGTAGAAACTACTTAATCTATACAAAGTTGGATAGCAAGTCAGGAAATGTTCACATTAGCATACATACCAAAGAAATTTCTTTTGTCTTCATAGTATTTGTTTCCATATTTGTCGACTCCTATCAGCGTACCAGTCTTCAAATCATTGACCCTATGAATTCCCAAGACAATAGTTTCAATTGACATCACGTTCTTAGAGTGAAGTTGCAGCAGAGGCTTAGGAGGGATTGGTAAAACTATTAATTAAAACTCAAATACACATACATAAAGCAAAATACAAGGACTCAAAAACATACTGCCAACTCCTGCAACTAACGACAGCATGACTTTACTGTGTGCCCCACTGACAGGATATTGAAAGTCATACAGAAAGGCTTTTGGGGGCTGTTATTTATTCAAAAGCTCACTACAATGGAAGATAAAGCAACTCTGTAGCATACCACAGTTAAATACCATAGAGCAACACTCACACCTTAATTACTGTGGAAGAGAGCCCCACAGACTGAAAAATACAGTATCGGGTATGAATAAATACAGGTAGGCTTTAAGTATACTGAGAAAACAAACTAGACACTTCATTAAAAAGATCTGTGTTGCAGTACCAGCGTTCAAAAGTTAGACTGGTTGCAGGACTCGGCTTTCCAGAACAACAGTAATTAAATGAACTCATTTTTGAAATAAAGCACCACTGTTTGCCATAAAGCTCAAGAACACCTGTTGTAACTAACATTAGTTAGTGCTCTAGCAAGTACTAAAGTTAAAGCATTTGCTCTTAATGACATTGCCACAATTCTGAGAGAGTCAACACCTTTCAAAATAGTAAAACATTTCTGGAGTTACCAGAACACCTACAATTAACAAGCGTCCAGGGACCCATCGCAACGCTTTTTTCCTGTCTGTTAGGGCAGCTCAAGGATAGATCCTGGCCTGGCAGCCAAAAACAGCAAAGAAAAGTTATTTGGGATAATTTACCTCATCCAATTCTGCACTGCTGACATTTTGTTAGGTGGTGTTCTCTATCAATTTATATTTCATATAACTTAGGAAAGCAGATTTAAATTAGCTAGGAGATCACCACACAGAAGACATACTTAATCTTCAAAAAGACTATCAGTGCTATGAATGACTGGACTAGGATGCATCACTGGAGGAGGAGCCTAACTACTTAAACGTAAGGAATAAATGCAATCACATTAATGAGGGCTAGTTATTTGATTCAAAAGTATAAGTCCAGGCAGCACTATAGGGAACAGATGAGGTTCTGGAGATTGCTCTCAGTCTGCAATATTAGAATTTGCACAGTGCATCCACTGAGCGTGCTGCTGTGATTTTACAGAAACATGACCTCAACTTGCTTTAATGATTTTGATGAACTCCCAGTTCAGCTCCAGGTGACAGAACCTAAATGCCCAGGCCCACTTCCTTAGTTGGTCCTTTAACCACATGAACCACAGAGGAAGTTGTTTGCTGTCTTCTCTCCCTGGGTGCTTGAAAGTAATGATCAGTTCACCAAGTACTCATTTTAAACCTCTGGGGTCCCAGACATAATTATCCTCTCATAGAGCTCTCTGGTGTGTCGAAGAGGCATTCAAAGATCTCAGGCTAAGTTATTCAAGCCTGAGCGCCTAGCTTCAGGGGAAAAAAAAAAAAAAAGAAAGAAAGAAAAAAAGGACATCTCACTGCTAATCTTGCTTCTGTCTTCCTCTCCCTTTCTTGTAAGGGTTATCATTTTCCACTTCATGCCCTGAATCAAACACAAAGAGGTACTGTATCTGCCACTCTCAGAGGCAAAGAGGACACTTCCTAGCCAATTTCACTGAGTTTCAAGAAAGAATAATGTTTGCAGGCAAACAAGTCATTAAGAATTTGATTTCTGCTATATAAAACCCATTCACATCTCCTCAGTGGGCAGCATACAGAGAAACGCAGGAAAACTTAAAGCCTTTGCAGAGAAAGATTCGCCTGACTTGGATAAATAATTTTCTCCAGCTATCACTGTAGCACCACCTCTTACATACACTGACTATTGCAAGAAAGATGCATCCTGATCACTCTTCCTGTAAGCATCGAGTGTATTTACCTTTCAAGCCTGAATGGTAAAGGTGAGGCAGCAATTATGTTTGTAGCTGGAATGGTTACGAAGATCAGGTATAATTCTTCACCTAGCACACTGCTCTCCTAACTTCATTCTTCTCAAAGAAATAGGAGAGTGTTGCTTCCAGTCCTGCCTACTCCCCTTTTCCTCCAAGTAGAAGGGTGTCAACACAACCCATGATTTCAGGTTCACAAAAGCTCCCTGACAAGACAGTCAGTAAGATGCGTTTAGGAGGATGCATTCAGGTGAAAATGAATTTGCAAATTCTTCTTTTACGTTTCACTTTCCCCAGTGTTTCTTCTTGAGAACTACAGGTATAACAGCTAGAACCTCAGAAGGCAAACACAGCAGAGGAAACAACTGGGAATGGACAGGGGACAACAGTAATAAAACACTACCTGGGGAGATCAGATATTGTCTTGACATATGCTGTATAAAAGTTTGAAATTTCCCTCTAAAAATTCTGCAAGAGGAAGGTATATCTGAGCTGTTCTGCAGTGGAGACAGTAAAAGCAAGAGTTGCCTGTCACCACAGGTAGTAGTAATACGATGACAAAGTTGAGAACTCCCAAAAGTCTAGCCAACTTCAGGAAAGCACTTGATACTGTGCCACAAAGGAGAAGATGATAGTAAAATAGTACAAGAACCATAAAGGGCTATATGGCCTGAGAGGAAGAAGACAATATGCTCAGCTGAAGAGGGAAATACTGAGTTGATTGAAGGTTACTAGTGAAGTTCCTCAAAGAATGCTCGTGGTATTAACCTTATTTAACGTTTTGCAGGGTTTCTGACCAAAACAAAAACAAAAGAGAGACCTCCCCCTCCCCACCCCCCCCAAAAAAAAAAAAAAAAAGCACAGGAGTCTGGTAGATATTACCATACAGAGGAAGAACACAGCGTTATCCAGGAAGTGCTGCATGGTCTTGAGTAATACAGTTAGGATGAAATTCAGTAGTCTTAAGTACAGGGTTTCATGCACCTGGAGACTAATAAGATTGGAAGTGCATGTTTGTAATTACAAGGAAAACATCTGGATGTCACAGGGCAACGTTAAGCTGCCAAATAAATGACATGGGGGTGCTGGGGAAGACAAGCTGATCCCAGGATATACCAGGCAAGGCATCTTCAGTGAACAACGCAAGTACTAAAGCCACTGTACAAAAATACTGACGAGGCCTAATCAGAAATAGTGTGTAAAATGTTATGTTTCACTGGTCAAAACAGATCAATTTAAACTAGAGTAAACAATGGAAGAGGGCTATTATGATGGCTGGAAAAGAAGTAAGTCTCAAAGACGACTGCAACAGCTTGGCTTGTTTATCCTAGCATAAGAGAGGCCTTGATGCACAGCAGGGAACTTCACCTTTGAGAATCCTTCCTATCCCGTACTCCCAACTGTTGATAAAAAAAGCTATTTAACTACCTGGCTAGGCCTGCAACGTTCATGTGCACTCTGAAGAAAGAAACTTTCTATTATCTTTCCCAAGACCAGTTACAAGGATAACATAGTCCATCAACACTGCCAAATTCGGACGATGCACCGCTCAGACTTCCACCTTACGTTCATCACTTCTGACCTTCTCATCGGGGATCTGAACGAAGGGAGAAGAGCACCTCAGCAAGCCCGCAGGCACCTACTTGGGAGGAGCTTCAAGCACGCTGGGTCACAACTGAAGGTGTTCTTAAGCTAGAGACAGGATGGGAGCGGGGAGGGGGAAGAGGACGAACCGAACACGCACAAGGGTGAGCTCCTGCGCTTGGGGGGAACGAAGCGCACCAGCAGGACCGGAGACAAAACGCTGCCTCCTGACTCGGCAAGAGGCGACACCGGGGCGACAGGGCACCAGAGGACGAGCGCGGGTCAACCACGACAACCCACGGCGGAAGGGGCGAAAGCGCCCTTTGAGGAGCGGGAGAGTTGCAGCCTGAAGGGCACCGGGAAGCAATTCGCTGCTTCACGCAGCGAGATCTGGGCCGCAGCACCGCTTTCAGCCCCGCGGCCCAGAGGGGTCAGGAAAGAGGGGGCCGAGGCAGGGCTCCCCGGGGAAGAGAGGGCAGCGGCGGCCCGCAGAGGCGCAGCAGGCTGCTGCGGCAGCGCTGAAACGGCC